TTTAATGGATTTTTCCTGTGCTTCAGATGTTGACGTGAACGTAGCTCATGCTCAGTAATTTTACACAACGCATTTTGATCCGCATCAGTAAGTCTGAAGCTGAAACTAGCCAACAGTTTAGGGTCACATGAACAACTTGCACTTTAGCTGCAAATACATAATAACATCTTAGAGCAAATATAAAAACTTCCAAACTCTCTTTTCTTTATGGACAGGCAGTTTCTTTTAACCACTTTAAATGCACTTGCAAAAATAAATAAATATCTATATATAGATATCCTGTGACTCAATGATCTGAGGTGTTTCGCCGGAACAGTAACCCATATTACTTTCTCAGCCGTGCATTTCCTTTCAGTTTAAAGCTTTAGCGTGTGGAGCCATGATGTCGCATTTTGGACTTTCATTTTATGTTATTGCCCTTTTTTTTCTTGGAGTCTCTGACAAAGGTGAGAACAAACTATGTTAATAAGCCTGCATGTATGTATGTGATGTATTTCTCTCTCATGTTCGATAGTTTCCCGATCAGTCTTACTAATTTTCTAATCATTTGAATTATGTGGATTTATTATTTGGAGATATTCTGATAAATGAAAACTTGAGTTTGTGTAAACAGTATAATGCAATAACTTTAAATAATGTGATTATTATTACTTCACCGATTATTCTGTCAAAACAAAAGGAATAAGTTATATTTAGCACGATGAAGTAGAGTAATGTGAAAGAAGTAACGCTGTTTCTGATAATAGCATGTCCACTGTGATGATGAAAAGCGCATTCTCCCAATCAGCACAAATTAGCAGATCAAAAACAATCACATGCGCTGATAGGAGAACAGTAATGATGCAGTAATCGATCCGTTTTCATGCACGTGTTTCTCCCCAGAAACAGCACAATGACTCAGAGCAACGAGCGGCAGCTGAAAGAGAATCAGTGTGTTTGACATCAGAACATACTGCTGTGTGTGGATAAATGTGCACGTGTGCGGCAGCTCTGCTTCATTACAAACTCTTCCACCATGGACATGAAGTCTTTGTAACAGCTGACATGTGCCAGGTGCAGAACTGCACAAAACATTATTTACAGTCAGATCCTGAACCATCAGAATAAATATGAACCTACACAGTAACTGTTCACACTGCTGTCTTTTTATTTCCTGCGTGACCTGTAACACTGCAGGCATTTACTAAAGTCGGTATTTTGTACCAAAAGTTTCAGACATGAATCTAACTCACTTCCAACGCGAGTCACACTAACCGCAGCATTGTCACAGATGTTCTGTAGGGTGTAGTGCAGATGTGAGAGATAAAAGTAGTTTGTGTCGCAGGGGTGTGTGTGTGTGTGTGTGTGTGTGTGTGTGTGTGTGTGTGTGTGTGTGTGTGTGTGTGTGTGTGTGTGACTGCAGTTTTTGTTCATTATGGACCAATTTCTGAATGTGAATACATATCTGAAATAAGTTGAGTCACTGTAAAAACTGACTTGATTGCACCTGTGTGTCTTGTATTGTGGATCTCCTCCTTGACCCCGAGGCTTTATGTTACAGTTCAGTGGTTTCATCAAATTCTGATTCATCAAAGCTCCAGAATTACTGAGGCGCAGAAATGTGCAAAACTGTAGTGGGTCCGATTTTGTAGGAGATATTTTGTTTTTGCATAGTGTCTGTGAATGCTGCATGAACATTTACCCCTCACTTAGCTCTTTAATCAGAGGCTGGTTATAAGGAGCAACTGTGGCCTACTCCCTGACTCCTGGCATTTGACACTCATTCCTGTTGTAGGTGGCGAGGATCACAGCCTGTCGTTAAGCATTGCAGCTCGAACTCATTTCCCCTGGTAACTGTTTAAGCGGTCTAACTGTGAAAGGGTGGTAAGTAGGATCCTTGTAGGTTGTCCGCAATTTGGCTTATAGTAGGGTGGACCCTGGATAACTGTTTTTCTCCCTTGTTACAGGCTTACAATCTCCTGCCGTCTTCTCCAAAAGTTGATTCTGTTCATCTGGACGTAGCGTTTCTTCTTCAGAAGAAGTCACTTGGATGAGTGACGAAACGTTTCTCCCACAAAGCGCTACGTCCAGATGAACAGAATCAACTTTTGGAGATTTACTTTCCTGGATGATTGAGAATGCATCAAGACTCCTGCTGTCTTGTTGTAGTCTTGTGTTGCTTTGTTGCTGTCATGTTGACTGGCATTGATTGGTTATTCTTTGTTTTATGGTGTTTTAGTGTTAACTTTTTATTACGTTTTAATGGTGCTGGTGTACCATTTGCACGTACCTCTGCTGCACTGCACTCATTTGGTGTTCCGCTTGGATCTGCCAGATGTTGCTTTTAATTGAAGTTGTATTTTAAAGTGCATGTGTGTGTGTGTGTGTCTCTGTGTGTGTTACTGTTTCTTTCTCTATTATTTATTGAGGTGTTTTGTGTTTTGATTTATAGATTTAATTTTATTTGCTTTAGTGGAGACACAACTGCTTCCACCTGTGGTGGAATTCCCTGTCATGCATGTGAGTGTACACACTGAAAAGCAAATATAGCACAATATTTTAAGTTGCAGTAAGAGTGGAAGTAAGGATTGCGGAGAGACTGCAGGGGTGAGTAATTAGTGGCACCCCTTGGGCATTCCTCTCTGTCGGTTGCCTCCCCTGGTGGCCAGTCTCCACCATTAACTATTTTATTGAGCTGCTATTTTAACTATGCCAGCATCGTGGCAGCGAACCTTGGTTTGTTTTGGGTTTTGGGTTTTTTTTAAAGTAATGTTGGTTAATAAAGTGTCTTTATTAAAGGTTTAGTATTGAAAGTCCTGCTCCTTAATTTCCTGTTTTCTTTTCCTCCCCTTCTCTCATTCCAAATATAAAGTGTTGAGTTATTCAAAATGAGAAAGAAATGTAAACAGAATGAACAATGGTGACATGGACCTAAAGCTGTTAGTCGAGTGTGTGTAACTTTCCCAGCTCTGAATACCCCTGAAGATGTAAACACAGTAAGCGCACCAAAATGAGCTTTGCAGTTTTGTTGCTGAAAACTCTTCAAAAACAAATAAACATAATTAAAGTCCCATATTTTAAACACTTAGCCGTCAACAGATTTTGAGTGAAATTACACAAAAAGGCCACATGAGGTCTTTGTTTATTCATGGTGAATTTATAGAGGCTTTTCAAAAAGTGTACAAAAGACACATAAAATAATGGTAAATGGCCTGCATTTGTATAGCGCTTTTCTAGTCCATAGGACCCCAAAGAGCTTTACACTACATTCACACACAGGTGATGGCAGCTACATTGTAGCCACAACCACTCTGGGGCGCACTGACAGAGGCGAGGCTGCCGGACACTGGCGCCACCGGGCCCTCTGACCACCACCAGTAGGCAAACATGGGGTTAGTATCTTGCCCAAGGATATTTGGCATGCAGCCAGGAGGCAGCCTTCTGATTAGTGGCTGACCTGCTCTGCCACCTGAGCTACAGCCACCCCAATACGTATATCGATATTTACATTTATAAAGTTTTCAGTTCTCAGTCCAGTAATATTTATCATGTAAGACCATGCCAGTGTTCCTTGTCAGGTATTGTTGTATAGTGTTTTAATCATTTTATATTTTATTTGGCAGCGACATCAAAAACTGGTGTTTTTGTGTGTTGAGTGAGGATTACTCACTCATTCAAGTGACATCTTCTTTTACTATAGTAAAAACGCTACGTCCAGATGCACAGTTAATTAAAGTTCATTACAAAAAAAAAAAAAAATAGTCACACTGGGGCTATTGCGCCATCTAGTGAGTCTATCATGGAAGTGGTTCACATGAGGCAACGACTATACTACCAATTAACTCGGAGCTGGACGGACTTTGAATTCAGAACGAAAACTTTAATAAAAATATTTTAACCGAGCACTGAAGTGTCGAATAGAATATCCAAAGAAATAAATGTTTCATTTATTTATTCCATCAGTTAAACATACATTTCCCCTTCATTCCCAGACAGGATTTACAACAAATTCTACTAATATCCCAGCCGCATATGAGACCTATCAAACCAAAGGTCCAAGCAAATAGCACTACAATGCTCACTAAAAACAATCAATATACGTACTATATTGATAGTACTATATTGATTGATTTCCCTGATCTGATCTAGAACTTGATTGATTTAACCATTAAAACCCTTGAAAGTCGAAAAACACGCATTAAAAATGAGCACCTACAATACTGTATAATCAAAATCAAACAGCCAAAGTCTCTGAGTTAATCGTCTGTGGAACTTCCCACAGAAGAGCGCTGACCTCACGTCACTCACCCACTAACCTTTCAAAGCTCCTCTGCTGACACGACGGAAGGCAGCAAACTGCCAGGTGACACTTTCTACAAGATAATTCACACAAAAAACCCCGCTTCACGAATCATTTAGTAGTAAAAACACAGTAGTTCTGTGTACAAGGTAAGTATTATTTTTTTCTTTTTAAAGATAAAGACTTACCTTCAGAGACAGATGAGGGGTTATTAGGCCCATATGAATAGTTCTTTTAAAAACTATTTTCAAGGTGTTGTTTAGCAGAGCAAAGTATTTTAAACGCAGCTTCTCCAAGTGTCCCAGTTTGAATTTTGGATGTTTGCATTTTTATATTTTGCTCACAGAAAGAAAATCATTTCATAAAAACAATAATGATATTAATAATTTTGTTCTCATGTGCACTCGTTAAGCTGCTCGTTTTGATCAACCTAAAATAATTTTGCCAACAGTTTAGTTTCACATGAACAACCTGCAATTTAGCAGCAAGTACACAAAAACATCTTAGAACACATGAATTATAAAAGCTTTTAAACTCTATTTTTTTATGGACAGACAGTTTTTTTTAACCACTTTAAGCGCACTTGCTAATATAAATAAATAATTCTTTGTTTCTCTCTCTATATATAGATATATACTGTGACTCAGTGTCGGAGGTGTTTCCCCGGAACATTCACATTTCCGTTCAGTTTTAATTTTTTGGCGGTAAGTGTGGAGCCACGATGTCGCATCTTGGAGTCTCATTTTATGTGATTGCTATTTTTATTCTTGGAGTCTCTGACAAAGGTGGGAACAAAGTCTGTGTTAATACAACTCTATACAATCTCTCTCTCTCTCTGTATATATGTATGTGTGTGTGTGTGTGTGTGTGTGTGTGTGTGTGTGTGTGTGTGTGTGTGTGTGTGTATGTGTGTGTGTTCGATAGTTTACCACTCAGTTTTACTAACTTTGTAATCATTTGAAGTATTTGGACTTTCCCATGTTCAGCACGTAGGCGTCAAAGTGACAGATATTACTCAAGTTATGATAAATGAGAACTTGAGTTTGTGTAAACTGTGTAATGCAGTAACTAACAATGAGGGGTGAAGTTATCTGATTTTTACAAATTTACAAATTGGGAAAAATTGGCAAATTAGCGGATGAAAAACAATCCTGACAGGAGAACAGTAATGATGCAGTAATGGAGCCGCTTTCACGCACGTGTTTCTCCCCAGAAACAGCACGATGACTCAGCGCAACGAGAGGCAGCTGAAGGAAAATCAGTGTGTTTAATATCAGAGAGGCTCGTGTTAAAAAAAGCTGCGTGTGGATAAATGTTCGTGCGTGTCCTTGCACAGCTCAAGTTTCATCCAGAGGACTGCTTCATTGCAAACTCTTCCACCACGAACATCGAGTCTTTTTAACAGCTCACGTGTACAATGTGAAGAAGAACACAGAGCATTATTTACAGTCAAACCCTGAACCATTAGAATAAATATGAGCTTACATAATAACTGTGCACACTGTTGTCCTTTACTAAAGTCGATATTCTGTACTGAGAGCGAGCAGACAAGTTTGCAGGGTTTCAGGATTTGAGTCACATTTCTGCACAGAGGCACATAATGAAAAATGTCTCACACTAAATGACTTTTGCTAAGTACTTTTTCTGCTCACTGCCTGCAAACCACAGCAAAAGGGACAGTTACAGTATCTTCATTAACACAGGGACTGTTGGGGCTCTGATCATAAACGTTCTTCGGTCCACTGTATAACTCAGCTGTTACACAGAGATTTAGAGGTTCATACAGTGGAGCAGTTTGTAATACCTCAGATTTCTCTGGATACTCCCTGAGTCCCAGGACCTCACAGTCCCCTGACTGGTTCAATCTTATATCAAAAACAGAATAATTGCCCTTCGGCCTCCTCTCATTTAGCCAAATTGCCGCGCTGTTTACAGAAAAACACTTATACTCTGTTATTTGCTTTTAAATATTCATATTTAATGTTTCGTCAGGTCTGCTCATTTCTTTACTCTTAATTTGCAATGCTCTTTTTGAAATGTCGGTCAATAATAAAATCCTCCTTGCAGTGTTAGAAAATCCCCTGCAGCAGTTACTGTATACGTTTGGGGCAGTTCTATTCAGGAAGGAAACTCAAAAATAAAAAAAAAATAAAAAGACTGTAAAACATGTTATGAACAGTGAGAAAAATAACAAAAAAGTTTTAGCAGTGAAACTGCAACTTTGTGTGTTACAGTTCACCTGAACAAAAACTGAATGTGCCTCACATCTTAAACTATATCTCCTACAGCTCTAACAGCAGTGATCCAAACACAGCAGACTGTGCTGGCAGCAGTGGGAGAAGATGCTGAATTCAGCTGTCAGCTGTTGGAGACTAAAGACGTCGTTCAGGTCACATGGCAGAAAATCTCACATGATGTGGAGACAAATGTTGCCACGTACAGCAAGTACTATGGTCAGAGAGTGAATGATGGCTTTAAAGATAAAGTCAAGTTTAAATACACTGGACTACAGAACTGCTCCATAGTCATCAGGAATGTGACGGAGCAGGATGAAGGCTGCTATCACTGCCTGTTTAACACTTATCCTGAAGGCTCTTTCACTGGTAGAACCTGCCTCCAAGTCTATGGTAAGAACTTTTGCATTAATGTGTTTAAATGTGCTAGAAACTGATTTCCTTTCAACAACATATTCCTTGCAATATCTCCTGATCCTTCACAGAGCTGCATGAACCTGCTGTTGATGTCAGAGAGTCAAACTCTACTGAAGAGTGGGTTGTTTCCTGTTCAGCCACTGGTCGACCTGCTCCCACTGTAACACTCAGTGTCTCACAACAAGACCTCAGCTTCTCACAGTACAACACTGTCAGTGTGTCCAACACCAACGCTACATTCACTGTCACCACTACAGCTGTGCTCTCAGGTTCACGTAAACACAGCACACAGGTGGGATGTGCAGCACGAGTGCTCTCTGCTCCTCACAGAGAGGTGATGGTGACGATTCCTGATGATGATGATGATGATGATGGTGAGAAATTGTTTCAACATCACTGATTCATAAATTAATGATTACTCTGTGATTCTAATGTTTGTGTTTCTTTTTCCAGGTTTGGATAAGAAGTCAGGATCTAATCAGAGAAATTTAGGTGTGTTAACATTTGTGTTTTTAAAGCCAGTTTTTATGTTCAATTCTTTCGTCATTTGATAGTTGTTCACATTATTGTATCTTTCTATCTCCTGTTTTTCTCAAAGGAATCAGGATTTCAGTCATTCTGTCGTCTGTGGTGTTGGTGCTCTGTGTCGCTGCACTCATCTTTGTGGCTTATATGAAAAAGAAATCTCATAGCAGGAAATCCTCTTAAACACTTTCTCCTTTTGATTCCTCTCATAAATGTTTGTGCAGCTTCATAAATCTTTCAGTCTGTCGCACACACAGTTCAAGATGAACGAAACACCTGAAACCTTAAGCCAGACACACTCAGGTTTATTGGTTATTTATCATCCTGTCATTTTGTGCTTGGAAATTTTTGTCATTCTTTTTCACTCTGTTATGTTGTCACATTTCAAATCTTCCAACTTGCTTCTAGAGCTCCCTCCCCCCCCCCCCCCCTCCAATCTGATGTGTACTACACCTCAGTAGACTCCGCTGCGTTTGTCTTTGTTCTGTCTAAGCTAATCTGCTCAGAATGCTTTGATTTTGCACTATTAACAGACAACTGCTGCAGTGTTTTTTATTATTTTTTCCGGGACTGAAACACCTCCACTCAAACACGATGATAATCACCTCAGATAATGGACTCCTAGGAGACACCAACCACGATGATCCAGGACTTTCATCTTTATGAGAGCCAGCTAGACTCAATTCTGAGTCTATATCCACCTGTCCTCATTTTTTCCAGGTCCTGGAGTCCCTGAAATGTGGAGAGCATAGTTACTGAATTGCTTCCAGCAGCCCTGCCAGCCTCCCTGGCACAGCTCCTCCTTTGCAGCGGAGCCACAGACCACACTCTGCCACAGTCCTGTATGTCTCTCAAGAGTTTCTGGTAAAGGATTTGTGAAGACCTGTCCACATGGTTTAGTTGCTGCATTGCAACCTCAAACAAACTATGTATTTTAGGTGACATACGTGAATTAGAAATGGAAGCAACTACATTGCACATAGTTCTTACTGCATTATCCATCGCTAAGAAAACTGTCCTCATGAACTGAAGGTTCAAAAATAATTTACGTGTTACTCAATATAAAATGTACTTCTACATCACGTCTGGAAAGAATCTCGGCCTCTTCTGAAAACCTGGGTGAACTGGATTCTCTCTGGGCCTCACTGATCAGTTATTTATTTATTTTTTAGAAAGAGGGGCAATACATATTAATGAACATTTTAACAAATGTAAATATGCTAGATTATAGCCTTGGGCTAATTTCCATCTGCAGACCCTCTGGCAGGTTGGTGTTAAACACAAGTTAGTAAAAACATACAGAGACACTATTTACAGGTCATTGGTGGTGGTCGCTGTGGTCTGTCTTCTTGAATGCCTTCTGGGCCTTAACTCTGGGTGAGCCTGGGGTCCCACCATTAATTAATACAATGGTACATTGTAATTTTACTCTTAGCGCTTTGTGCTATTTATTTGTTTATCTATTTATCGATTTACCTAAACAACAGAACCCAAAGTTGCATTATGTAAATATTGGCTTATTCTGCTTATTCCTCCTAACTTACGTCGTAACTGGAAACTGCTTTTATCCTTACACCCTAACCTTCCGTGCCATTCAGCTTTGTCCCCTTTACTTTATGCTTTAAATACATTACAGCAAATCAAACATGAAGCCTCAACTAAGTGAAGTAAGTAGAGGCTAATTATGATGTCTGTGTGTTATTTATTGTGTTAGTAATTCTGGGCTCACGGTCTGTTTAGTTCAGCATCAGTATCTCACAGCTGAAACAAACGGTTTAGGATCTTCATAATCAACCTGCAAAATATTTAAAAATCTGTGAAACTATTACAGCTGAACACTGAGAAAGAAAACCTTCCACTTGAAATACAGAAATCTGGAAACGAGGCCACGGGACGTAACAGTGTGTGTATTTGAGTGTGTGTGTGTGTATGTGACAGCTCAGGACTCATCCAGAGGAGGGCTGCTTTGTTAGGAACTCCTGCACCATTAACATGAAGTCTTTGTAACTTTGTAACACCTGACTGTCCAATGTGCAGAAGAACAAAAAACATTATTCACAGTCAGGTCTTTTTTACTTCCTGTATGACCTGTAACATTGCAGACATTTATTAAAGTCAATACTCTGCACCAAAAGTTTCAGACATGAATCTAACTCACTTCTAATATGAGTGACACTAATTGCAGCATCGTGACAGAAGTGCTGTAGGCTGTAGTGCAGGTCTGAGAGAAGGAAAAGCTACATGAAACTGATTTGTAATGTTGCAGAGGTTTGTGTGTGTTTGACTCCAGTTTTTGTTCATCATGGACCGATTACAAAATGTGTATACATATCTGAAAGAAGTCACTGTAAAAACTCAGTTGACTGTCTGTGTGTGTCTTTTATTGTGGCTCTCCTCCTTGACCCCGAGGCTTCATCTTCAGTTCTGCTCCGTTTCATAAAAACTGCAGAATTACTGAGGAGCAGAAAATGCAGAGTCAAAGCTTTGAGCACAGTGTGTCACGGTCTGGCTGTCAGACCGTGGCGATGAGGAAAGTAGGACCCAAAATGACTGAAAGATTAATTGGCTTTGTTTTGAGTCTTTTTCAAAAAAGAATGACTTCATATAGGGAAAAATATATCACATGTGCAGGACACCTTAAACTAGTTTTTTAATTAAGCAGCAAGGCAGAACAAAGTCGGGGCTGTATCTAGACATGAGGACTAAACCCCAATTCAACCAGACCCAGAACTGATCCAGAATTAAAACAGGACTACAACAGTTCAAAATCAGGACTACTTGGGATTTAACCAAGACAGAACCAGAATCAGAACTAGATGATAGTAGCACTAAAAATCATCATAGACTTGCACTACATTTATTTTTTAATTTTACCAAAGTCCACTATTTAGATTGAGAAAAGTTTATATAATTATTTCGCCTTGTTGTGCAAACAAGCCTGCAGAACTTAATAAATATAGAATTTGAAAAATAGCAAACCTAACAAGAAACACTAGGTACGAGATACACGAGGACCTATACGCTGATACTTTTGGTAAACAACCATTTGACTAACATGTGTGTCTCACCTGCTCTTGTTCCGTCTCTGTTCTGTCCTCATTCTCCATCTCCCTCTCTGTTCCTCTCTCTCTCTTTGTGCTGACAATCATCAAATATACAGATATTTACAAACTCTTCAGATCAAAACACAAACACTTTTTTAATTGTAACATCAAATCAGACTAAATGTTTATTTTTTTAGATTGATAAATATAAAAAACATATTTGTTAACTTTAAGAGTAAAGAGAGAAACTATCTGTATTTCTTAATTGCAAATGGCACCAAATTGTATTCAAACTGAGCCACACTTATGGAGCTCCACAGTTCTGTTCCTGGTGTTTTGGTTGACATCTCTTGATTTTCCCATGTCACAGAAACAGGCTCTGTGTTTTGCCTTATATGCATCCACAGCTGTGCCACCAATTTACTCACATGGACTCTACTAACCTATCAGAAGCTTCTTCAGCTCAGAATGGAATCCTCTGGAGTTTTCTTATTAATTAACAATAAACTTAGTGTACATGATAATAATAATAACCACTGCTCATGGCCCCCTGAGTCCTCCAGAGCCGGGTCCGTGACACAGTGCCAAAACTTTCTTTCCTCTAACACTTTCTCGGTCCCAAAAAAGTTGATTCTGTTGATCTGGATGTTACGTTTTCAGTGGGAGAAATGTTTTGTTACTCAGCCAAGTGAATTCTTCTGTCTCAGCTGACTCCAGGTTTCCCCAAACTTATAAACATTACATTTCCATAATGACTGAAACCAGCACCACTCATGCTGTGAGGTCAGTTTCTTGGTTACTAATGAATGCAAATTGTCACTATCAGAGAGAAGTGACTGTTTAGAAACTCTTTTAAAGTAATTGATTCATGAAAATGAAAATGAACAAACAAGCTGCTCGTGTTGCTGAAATGAAATCTAATGCAACAGTTTATTCACTGCACTGCTGTTTGACCTCTTTGCAAAGGTAAATCAAACTCACAAAGACAACCTAGTTGTGTGAACCTTGATTTATTTAAAAACGTCCACAGGAAATGTTTTTGAAAACACATTAATACATCCCCACTTTTGGATGTCACCCGATATAAGGTAATTTATTGGGGATCTTTTCACATTATATGTTTATTATTGGATACAAAAAAAAAAGAAGAAGAAGTTGAGAGCATCAAGCTAAGGCTTCGTTCATTAGGAATTGCATTCATTATAGGGATGGTATTGGTTTCCTCCAGACATGATGCTTGGCACTCAGGCCAAAGAGTTCCATGTTTGTTTCATCAGACCAGAAAAGTTTGTCTCTCATGTTCTGAGAGTCCTTGCCTTTTGGTAAAGTCCAGGTGTGTTTCCATGTGCTTCTTGGGACCTTCAATACTGCACACATTTTTCTGCACACTTTCTTACAATCCCGTCTCAGAGATATACAACCAATTCCTTGGACTTCATGGCTTGGTTTGTGCTCTGTCACCTATGTGGCCTGATAGAGACCGGTGTGCGCCTTTTAAAATCCTGTCCAATTCAACTGAATTCATCACACATATAGAAACATCTGCCAGATGATCATTGGCAACAGGATACACCTGAGCTCAACTTCCAGTGTCATGGTAACATCTGTGAATAGTTATGTGTGTGTTATAGTTTTGGTTTTCTTTTTAATACATTTGCAAGAATTACGAGCAAACATTTTCACTTTGTCACTCTGGCGTATTGTGTGCAGAGTTTCAAGGTGAAAATGAACTGAATGAGACAGTAACATGACAAAATGTAAAACAAATCACTGTGGTTACGTTCAGAACAGACTGCTGCAGAGACGTGCCTCCTTATTTATGGTGACCGGGCTTAGGAGACAGAAGTATCTGTATATGGTTATTCTACTTATTAACATTTCATAAATGCTCCAGTGTGATACAATAAAGCGAGTAAACTGACCATTCCTCCATCAACCATATTTTTCTAGTCTGCCTCGATACTCTGAATATGTGTCAAAGTCAGGTACCAACGTAGCTAGAAGGAACTACAGGAAGGTAACGTCTTGCTGTAGTTCCAGGCTGCACATGTTTATATTATTGTTATTATTATTGCCTTTCATGCTGTTGCAGCTGTTGTATGTGATAACCCACTGACTCCTATACAGTGAGACTTTTTTGTTTCCTCTCTGCCAACTGATGTAAGAGTTTGCTGTTGAACCATAGGCTGAGCAGTCACAACTCTTCAGTTAACATTTTATTTTATACAAAGTGCCAATACCAGCTACCTATGACAACTACTGAAAAACAAACACATCGCTACAACAAGCATATGGTGGATGTACTGTGATCTGTGACTGAACCTGCCCTGCATCGCACAACCATCACTACCAGCCAACTAATGTGACGAAGACTGAGTAGCCTACGCCACCTGGTGGTATACATGTACACTGAGCATGAGAAGCTCGGGGTTAATGAGCTTTAGATTACAAATGAATCTCTGCATGTAGGAGGAGAGTAGCAAAAGTCGCGTGTAAAAATCAGACAGTTGAACAGCTGAACGACTTAACTGCAGATATTTAGGGGAAAAAATCGTAAAAAAAACCAAACAATTAAAATGTTTGAATGGTGATTGGGGTTTCACGTGTGTACAAACAGTTGTGCTGCTCTTGACCTGGAAAAAGATCTGAAGAGAAATCGAAAGTTACGAACATTGAAACGTGTTCAGTGCAGCCGCTGTCTGTGCATTTAATCCTCTCTTGTTATTATGTAAGCTTTCTGTGCTTCTGCCGCTCCTATAACTCCGCTTTCACTCTATTCCCGTCCACTTGTCAATCAATCAGCACTCGACCAACGCTATCCCTGTCCAGAGACATGCAGGTAGTCTGGTGAAAGACTGAACAGGAGCATTAATGGGGTGGGTGGAAAGCCCACTCTGTCAGAACGAAACACTTTAAGCGTAATTTATTGTCCTCAAGTGCGTTCACATCTCCGTTTGGACAGCGAAATGAGAGATGATGGTGGAGCTGATCCGACTTTTAGAGCTGGAAGTGACGTGAAACGTTGAGTAACTTGACTCCACGCGAGCTGTACGCATTTGATTGGATCAAACTCGAGGAACTGCAGAAGCAGGAACCTGGAGTTTAAATGAATGGCGAGTCAATGCAATGTCCTCCTTTGGAGTTTTATATTATTTTCTTGCTGTTTTCATTTCTGGAGCCTTTGACAAAGGTGAGAAAAATGTATTTCTGTATGTATGTGAGTCAGACCCTTTTATAGAATTGACTTTTATTTTTATTTTTATACAGTAGAGGTCACTAAGGTGACCTGAGAATTTAGATTATGTTGTGACAAGTACAACCACCGGCAGTGTTAAAGTTTATTTTCTGTGGTTTCTCTGAGTATTTAGGAGGGGTTAGTGACGGTCACGTGGCTGTTGGAGCTTGTTCTTTAGGAAAATCATAGCAGCACTTCAGCATTCCCAGTATGTTTCTTTCTTTTGTGTGTGTGTCTGCGTGCGTGCATGTGTGTGTGTGTGTGTGTGGGGGGGTGTGCGTGTGTGTGTATGTGTCTGCGTGCGTGTGTGGGGGGGTGAATTAATCTCACTCTGAATCAATTTTCAATATGTGAATGTCATAGTTTGAAAAAGTCATAAGGTCCTGCAGCTTATTGTTGGTGTCGACCGGCAAAGAAGAAGAAAAAGTAGAAGAACAAGAAGGGCAAAAGGGACAACGTGGAAGTTGTGATATTATGTCAGCTTACAATCTAAGGAAGTGTATCCGGTTTGATGGCTAATGATGCCCTGAGTGACAGTTGTCTGAAAATGTTTGCACAGGTTCATGCCATAATCCACACAATTTATTATTTATCAAACATGGTAATGTGAGAATTGTTAATGCTGAATGGAGTTTTTATAATAGTCATTTTATAATGTTGTTTTAACAAATGTTTTTTAAAGAACTCAAACAGAGAAAGTGCATATGTCCCCCAGTGAGTCATTTATTGGTTTAGCTTTAAAATTTGGAGATTTTCCTAAACTGCAAACTGAAAAAAAAAGTTTGACCTTGACCTGTGATGTATGACCTCTAAGCATTACATACTATTGTATGTACTTTAACTGCCCTTTCATATGATATATTAGCCAAAATGATAGGTCAAATTTGACCTTGGGTGCTAACAATGAAGCTCAAAACAGCCTGTTTTTTTCTTTTTACATTCCTTGGCATAATTATAAGTCTGTCTATGGAGACATCGGGATGAATCTTACATCTAATATATTATGTAACCTGAAAATCTTGCCTTGTGTCTAAAAAGGGTGGATAGTGATCTGCACATGTGTGTGTGCACCTCTATGGTTGTGTTCGGGGTGTTGCAGTAGAACTAAAAAAAAACATGTACTAAAAACCTGAACCAGCTGGAAGCAACTTTGATTCCTTTTGCAATAACACTGTTACCAGATTTGTTTAGGCAGAGTGTCAGTGTGAGGCTGAAGGTACAAGTGTGTGTTGCAGGAACTGGGATAGCCAGTAACACTGGACCTCATGTGTCAGCAAGTTGGACTTGAACATTATATTTAAAGTGCCTCACAGCTTGATCTGTATCTCCTGCAGCTCTAACAGCAGTGATCCAAACACAGCAGACTGTGCTGGCAGCAGTGGGAGAAGATGCTGAATTCAGCTGTCAGCTCTTGGACACTAAAGACGTCCTTCAGGTCACATGGCAGAAAATCTCACATGATGTGGAGACAAATGTCGCCACCTACAGCAAGCACTATGGTCAGAGAGTGAATGATGGCTTTACAGAGAAATTTAAGTTTAAACATACTGAACTACAGAACTGCTCCATAGTCATCAGGAATGTGATGGAGCAGGATGAAGGATGCTATCACTGTCTGTTTAACACTTATCCTGACGGCTCCCTGACAGGGAAACCCTGCCTCCAAGTCTATGGTAAGAACTTTAACCTTCTTTAACCAACAACAAGTGCTTGTAACAAACATACTGGACATAAATGTGTGAGCAGCTGGTGTGTTTGTAAGAACATGTTGATGATATGTCCTGATCCTTCACAGAGCTGCATGAACCTGTTGTTGATGTCAGAGAGTCAAACTCTACTGAAGAGTGGGTTGTTTCCTGTTCAGCCACTGGTCGACCTGCTCCCACTGTAACACTCAGTGTCTCACAACAAGACCTCAGCTTCTCACAGTACAACACTGTCAGTGTGTCCAACACCAACGCTACATTCACTGTCACCACTACAGCTGTGCTCTCAGGTTCACGTAAACACAGCACACAGGTGGGATGTGCAGCACGAGTGCTCTCTGCTCCTCACAGAGAGGTGATGGTGACGATTCCTGATGATGCTGGTGAGAAATTGTTTCAACATCACTGATTCATAAATTAATGATTACTCTGTGATTCTAATGTTTGTGTTTCTTTTTCCAGGTTTGGATAAGAAGTCAGGATCTAATCAGAGAAATTTAGGTGTGTTAACATTTGTGTTTTTAAAGCCAGTTTTTATGTTCAATTTTTTTGTCATTTGATAGTTGTTCACATTATTGTATCTTTCTATCTCCTGTTTTTCTCAAAGGAATCCGGATTTCAGTCATTCTGTCGTCTGTGGTGTTGGTGCTCTGTGTTGCTGCACTCATCCATGTCAGGTATAAAAAGTGATCTCAAAGCAGGTCGTCTGCTGATATTACAGCATCTTTATCAACTGTTCTTAAATCTGTTGTCTGTCGCACAGAGAGCTCGTGGTGAATTATAACTGAAACAAGAAACACTCAGGAGTAAGTCTCTCTTCATCCTGCCAGACTGCACTCGGAAAGTTGCTGGTTTCTTTTTCACTCTTCAGGATATTTTCACATTTCAATTCTTTCCAACTTACCTTTTACTTTTCTACTTTCTTTCTAATTCATCAAACCCGTCTTTGGTTTGTCTAAGCTATTGTTCTTTGTTCAAAAATATTTTTATTCAGCATTATTAACACAGTGATGCTAAAATGTTTTTGTTTTTATTTTTAGAACTGGACCATTTTCAGTCAAATGAAGGGACACTCAGACACTCAGTGGCAGAAGGCAGACACCTCCTGAGGAGTGTCAGTTCATTATGCCAGAGTGTTACTTTTTTTTTTTTATCTCTGTACTTTGTGCTGTTTATTTATTTTTTGTATATCTTTGAAATGGTGCTGTTTATAAAAAGTCATGTTTTGGTGTTTTGTCAGATATTTAAACATTAAGTTACTTGAAATGTGAACTGTGAAAACGAGCATGAGTGGCTAACATGAACCTTTCTCATCAATAACTTTGATTAAATTGATTTCATTGATTAAATTGAGACTACCAGAGACAACTACAATGAAAACTGCACTGTGCTTTTGTAAATAACAACACTTTTCCACCTGAAATTGCAGAAAATGGCAGCTGAAGGTCTCTGTTTGTTCACTGTGAACATGTTATGCTCAATTTATTACTACATGTATTGTTAAAAAAAACAACACATACATTTGTGTTCAGTTACTCAGACCAGGAATATTTATCACCTTAGTAATGTAAGACCATCCTAGTGCGAGTCAAGTATTGTTTTAATAATGTTTTAATGTTTTTTTTATCTGCAAACATTGCACTGCTCATCAGAAAGTGTAAAGAAACATTTGACGCTTTTGCTTCTTCTCCGTGTCAAACCGGACTTAATGCAAAACACTCCTTATTGTCTCCATGTAGTTTTGCAGGTATGCTATCTGTTGATATGAGTTACCTTTCCACACATAAAGACAGCAATTTTCAGGCTTACAGCTCGTCAGTCTAAACACATGCAGACTGCTGTTATTCTCACTGTACTGCTGACTGACACATTTTCAAAAGTAAATAAATTTCACAAAGTCAACCTGCTTGTTTTTGTCTTGGTTTATTTCAGATTTCAACCAAAAATGTTTTCATCAAACAGATGATCAGATGGATGCTTTTGATTGGCGGCACATGCACAGCTGCACGTAAAACTGTTTGTTTTACATATACTGAACACACATGAAAAAAACTATTTTTCGTCCACTATCTGAAGTGAAGGTGGCAGACAAGCCCAGACCAAGTCAGCCAAGAGATGCATTTGTATTTCATTAAATGTAATTTCTCCAGCGTGTCCTGGCCTCCTCTCGATAATTAAAAAAGAAAAAAAAAAAAGAAGAAAGAAATGGCAGTGTTGTGCCAAAAAGTGATTTCCAAATAAACAAAACATCTTTGATCTGTGAAGTGTTCTGTTAAAGAGATCATTTTTTTCCCTTCGTACTTTTGTTGCCAATTGGCGGATGTTGGGTTGTACTACAATGTTGTTGCTGTGACTTCAAGTATAACTACTATTGAATAATAACGGTTCCATATTGTGCCTGTTTAGTTGTAATTTATGCCTAAATGTGACTCACTCAGTGTTGCATATTTTAACCTGCTATTGCTCAAAATGACCACCTGGTCATAATATGGATTCAAATTTAGAAGAAGAATATAGAATAATCTTTTAATTGCCCCACAAAGGGAAATTTGGTTGCAACAGCAGCCAAAAAAAGCACATATTCAAACAGAACAGGACACAGAGCAGAAACACAATTTTTACATCATGGACAATAGTTACCAAAACAGAGTACTGTACAGTTATTAAAATTAAAGTACAGATAAGTGGTAAACCCATGTTATTGTCAGGGTTTTTGACCCCATTGTAAATGCCGGCAAAGCCACTTTACTTTGCGCTTTTATTTTGAAGAGTATCCTAGCACTTCCTCTTTTATTGTGTCAGACTTCCTGTTCTGTTCTCGGTGAGACACGTGGCTTCAGAGTGAGTAAAAGCGTTTGTTTTTTGAGGGTACTCATGCAGAACTATGTGTTTTATATATCTGTCACATGCTATAACTTTGAAAGTTTACTCAACAACATTGAGTCAATGTTGTTGAATTCGTCTTTTATTGTGTATGCATGTCATTTGTTTGTGGTGTGGAAAGACTGGCTAAGAGATGTGCATGGAGGAGGTTGGCTAGCTGATTCAGCATGATTAGCACCCTTGGAAGCAGAAAGAGGTTGGTTAATGATTGCAAACGATTGTTTATGTATTTAGGACACAGAAAGGTTGTTGTTAATTCATTTTATTAAATGCTGTAACATAAATAGTTTAAAAACTATTGATTTATGTCAATATCACTATTTGGGTTAATCAAAATAATTTTCTATAGTAAAATGTGAACATTTCTGCACTTCCTACTTGAATGTTTAATGGTATTTGTTTGTGCATCTTTATAGTTTTCACGGTGCCATATTGTCGGTGGTTTAAAGAGGAGAGAATCAAGTTGCATCAGTCGAAGCTCTCCGCGTCACGAGTGGTAATTCCAACTGGGCAGCTACACCCATGTTTTGAGTTTTCTATGTTTTTGTCATTATGAATTCTGTATTAAGTCTTCAGTGTTAGTCTTTAGTTATTCTATAGGGTGTAGTTTCTTGTGTTCCTTGTTTAGTAATTTCCCCTCTGTGTAGCTGACCCCTGTGTCTCCCTCTGTGTGTCTAAGTGGATATAGTGATGTGAGTATTGTGCTTTGTTCCCACTCCTTGTGTTCTGTGTTTCCTCATCTCCTCATGTGCTCCTCCATGTTCTCTTTCTCCCTCCAGGCTGTCTCTGTGTACTTCCTGTTTTACTTTGAAGGTCTGCGTCTCATGTTAGTGTATTCTGCTGTGCTTCCTTGTCTTTTTAGTTCTGATTTCCCCGAGCTGTGTTTCCCTCCTGTCTCCCCTTCCCCGATTGCCTCTGTGAATATATAAGCCCCGTGTTTTCTCCTGCTGGTTGCTGGTTCATCTGTGATGTCTCCCTGAGTCTCCCTGTGTTCCTCTACATGGCTTCAGTTTCATGTGTTTAGATTTTCCCAGTTTAGTTATTTCTTAGTTCCTGTCCTCGCCATTTCCACTTAAATAAACTCACTCCTCATACCAACCTCTGCCTGCACTTGGGTCCTCACTTCAGCTTCACACATCTGCCATCGCAGCTGTGACAGATGTAGTGTGCGAACAGAGCAGGATACTGAAAGATGTTTAAATAGTTTGGAATATTTAGAATAATTTAAAAAGTGCAGATTGTGTGTTGTACCTGTGCAATAAAAAGTAGACATGCAACTTCCAATAAGTTAGTGTATAAACTGAGAAAAGTAATGTGAAAGTTATAACAGTAGCAGTTGTTCGGTTGATTAGTGCAAGTTACAGCGCAGATGTAAACATCTATGTTTGTTGGGAGCAGTTCTGATTGTACAGTCTGACAGCTGCAGGGAGGAAGGACCTGCGGAAACGCTCCTTCATGCATCGAGGATGCAGCAGTCTGTCACTGAAGCAGCTCTGCAGTTCAGCA